TGGGACACTCTGGTTGAATTAAGGAACAATATACAACACGTGAATCTTAAGGTAACGTATGTTTCTTCCAACAGCTCGCGAAGCGACGACTCTTCCAGCCCGTTTTTGGCCACGCCCTCGGCGCCTCAACGATTTTCACGGACAACAATTTCATCTGGGGTTCATATTCATTGCGTTGCTGACAGCTCTGCCACGGGGCTTCGCCGCGACGATGGCGAGACAGTCAGAGCACATTTTGGTGACAGAAATGGCGATTCCATAAACAAAGATCTGCTCGTTGTCGCACTCGAGGAAGAAAATGACCGGCTACGGTGCGCTCTTGGCGCAGAACGGCGAGCAAGACAGCTGGCCGAGGCAGAGACCAATCTGCAGTCTGCTCGGGCTCGTAAGTACGAAAACAAGGCAAGTGCACTTGCATCGCAATTGGCAGATGCACAGCAGAAGCTGGCGGATTTTGAGCAGTCGGCGTTGAGCCGGGCTTTGGTACAAAGTTGGCTTGAGACTACGCTTCCGCAACGGCGCGGAAGCGCTGGCTTGAGCCAGGAAGATTATGTCGAGCCCTATTCTGCTGTGTTTACGGAGCCAGAGCTTTGCCCACAACGGCAATCCAAGTCACTTTTTGGCGCGGGGGGACCTATGGAAGCCTCGAAAGATGCTCCGGCGCCCACCAACTCAGGAGGTGGTCATGAATTTGGAGTCTGTGTGGATGAAAATACATCCGGAAATTTGTTCCAGGCGAGGCAACAATCTAGCGATATTGATTGGAGTTTCGGCTCCGCTGCAGACAAGGAGCTGCTGGACAGCTGTGGGGGCGGTTGCAATGGCAGAACTTCTGCGTGCGGCAGTGGAAATCATTCCGTCTTGACTCCATACGGCACCGCTGGGGCGTTGCTGTCCCCGCCCACCTCCTGCCACGCCGGTTATCCCGCTGACACTACCAAAGCACAAGCTTCGGGAAGCTTCTCAATGGGCTGTACGCTTCCAACATGGAGTCCCGCGGTGCAGCACGCCTACACTCCGTGTGGTAGCAGTGGAAGCAGCACACGCCTGACGCCAGCCTGGAGTTTGCCCCTGCAGGGCAAGAAGTGTCTGCCGCTGTTGCCGATGCTACCGCACGGAGACCTGTCTCGGGCATCAGTTGCACAGACGCCATCGCCTGTTTCTGAAGGTCACAGACTGCTGCGGCTCATGTCAGATAGCAGTCCGCTTGGGATGAGTGTGGTGTCCCGGGTGCACACGATATCGACCGCCACCAACATTTGGCTGCCTGCCAGAGCAGCAGAATGCCATAGCTGGGTGCGTACAAGCAAGTGGGCTGACGGAAACAAATAGTAGTTAACCATGGAGGAGGAACACCGGGCCTGGACACAACCACAGTTTATGTGGATGGTTGGAAGGTCGGTTAGCGGAGCTGAAGCCAGATGTGCCGCCTGTGGCTCTTCTTTGCTATTTCCTCCGATGTGGTTCATGTGCATGCAGCAGCATCCTCGGATTTGCTGGGATCTCACCATTACCACCATGTTGTCATCATCACCCGAGTTGAAGATGCCACCACAGCTGGTAGCGCTGTGAATGCTTACAACCGGCCCCCTAACTGCCAACTGCGAACCGCAGGGCTTGGAGTCCCCACAGCGTGGTGTCGAGCTGGTGTCGCTGCTGCAGCAACCGGCCATGAGTTCCCCTGTGAAAGCGCCATCAACCTCCACATCTGGCGATCCACAGCAGCACATCTCGATTTGCAGCGCGTCTCGGGGCCCGGCTACTTCTGAACAACAACACCCTCACAATCCCCCTCCTGCTGCTCACCTTCACCATTCCCATTACTTGCAACCGCACCAGGTGCTTAGTTCAACCCTACTTCGCCCCTGCTTCGCGCCGGAAAGGACCGCCCCTGCCAGAAGGCTGCTAGCTGGGGATAGCGCCCTATCGCTGACCGGCTTTGACGCCTTTGACATCTGTGCGGGCGATGCCGCGGGGAGCAGTATCCAATCGTATCCATCGGTCCCCGTCGTCGGCGATGTGCAGGATGGAAGCGAGTGGTGCAACATCCCGTTGGGCAGTCCGGAATGTACGCCGCGGAAGGACGCTGCACGAGGGACCAGCTAGCTCTTGGCTGCCTGTACCTATATTGAGCGTCTCGCTTTAAATCTCTCTAATCTGCGTACAGGCGTTTGTTTTCTTTTCCTGATTTTTCAGCGCATCTTGTCGCTTTGTAGATGCGGCTTGTTCCCTGCATCTGAGCTACATTTTGTATGTTAGTTAATAGCGCGTCCTTGGCGAGAGCAAGAAACGACTGAAAATACAAAGCCTGCGTGCGTCTGAAGGCAAGGATTTCCATCGGAAGCGGTATCCGTACATAGTTATCTACGAGCAAATAGCATGTCTGCCCTGGCTGGCGACGAAGAGGACGGATGAAAACCCTTGAATTGTCGGCTATCTGGCCCGGGGCGGTTACTCTTACATAAACATCCATACTGTTGGACGTTTCGCGTGTAAAAGGGCGTTGGATAGACCGGCATAGTGGCATCGCAAGGTATTGGTATTGATATACTGAAGCATCTGAACAATTGACAAGAATAGGAAGACAGGTGAGGGATGCTAACAAACGATGAATTATACTGTTGTTTATACCCATTTGGCTTAGGATTCTTGTGTTTGTGTTACTTGCGGAGTCTAGGTTGTTGTGGCAACGGGTCTGCAGCGAATCCAAAGCACACATGCTGTATTTCAGGAGGGCGGCAACCACCTGGGCAGTTACTTCATGGTATTTGGTTGATACGCCACAATCGGTCTCAGGGCCATGCTATGTCCACAACAGACAGTAGCATGTGTGACTGTCAAGGTTATACGTTTCCGTTGTGGAGCCTGCTGATGGTATGCGGGGTTAGGTTGACTACTTTTTGCTCAACGGCACAGCATATGTAATGTTAGGCCTTTGTAGGTCGACTATTTTGTCCTGGAGTAGGTCGTGATTTTGTACCAGTGCCTTAGAGGCTCACCTACGATGTAACCAATCGTGTTGATGCGATTGACCATGGGATGCTTTGGAATTAGCCACATCAGGTGTGGGGTGGTGACTTTGGAGGCTTATTCAAGTTGCTGCCGGGTACTGGCTGCGGTAAGGCGCGCGATGCGTGGCGTGAATGGTGGATGCGTCGAGCAAACTCTGTCAGAGCAAGAGCGCGCTTGTCGCCAAGCTTTCCCCAATACGATCATGCAATTCGGTGTTCTCGATAGTATTCATAGATCTTTTAACTTCTCTAAATCGCTGAAGGAGCAAGGGCTTTGGAAAAGTGGTATCATGTACTGTGTCGTTTCTTGTGGCATCCGGTGATACTTTTCGGGCTCATTTGTAACGGGATTATCGATGCTCACAGCTAGCTGTCGTTCAGCTTGGGTGATTCCCACAATCCTTCACCATGAATTGACCTTGTGTGATACTTAGGGTTTTAGGCTTTAGGGGGTTTTGTGTCACACGGGTTGGAAGGGACGAGGATTTTATTGTTGGATCTATGGTCTCAGGGCCGGGTGGGCTTAAGAAAAGGCAGCAGGACCATCGAGGCCACATGGAACCAAGAACTGCGGCTTGATTGTGTGTGTGTATTACATGGTCGTGGAGGTGTGTACCCCGTACCTGCAAACCGCCCAACGCGAGCTGAGGGCGCAAGGGCTGACAGATTGCCTACAAGCACCATCCTACCTCGCGCTTCAGACAAAGCAAGTGATAAAGGATATTGACTAACTAAGGGAACGATAAAGATGCGGTGGGACCACATACGTTCCAGCACTTCACCAGGCATTCTGGTTCCCACTTCATAAGGTATCTTCATGTGCTCAAAGCGTGGGAAATCCATACCAGATCTGATTTCATCGTACACCGGACAGTCCAGCAAAGACTGCTTCTCATCGTCAATATGTCTCTCTGTGCTGCAGCAGGGGCATACCTGCTCCTCCCTAGGTACATAATGGCATCCCTTGCATGCTCTGTTCGCCGCCAACACCCAACAGCATAGCCTAAACTGCATAAGCTTACAATACGCTGAACGCGGGATAAATGTTGTGATATGCTGGTGCACCTCCTCCCTGCCCCCTTGCCCAGCTGCCAGACCCATCCAATGCTTACACTTCGCCATGTGGATTCCCGGTTGCTTACCGTCTGATGGGTACACGTCTGCCTGGACCTCTAGACCCGTATTGGTTCCAACCGCTCATCAACCGATCCTTGAACTCCGACACCACATCTTCCGGCAATGGCCTATTCGTTAGCCATTCCACTCGTTCGTCTACCTCATGTAGCCCTTGCGGGGCCTCTTTCCATTCTTCGTGCCCCAGAAAACTCAGAAAACGGAGGATTAATGAACCCCATCCGGAGGCGGTGTGCTGATCTGGCAGCTCCCATAATTTGCCGCATGAACGATACATGGAGCTGCACCGCTCCATCCTTCAAACATGCGTCGAAGGGCCCCTCCGCAGGGTTACTCTCATCACGCCGCCTCCTGAGCCTGTCCAAGACATAAACGGGCCCCACCTTGACGACCTTACAACACTATGGCTCGTACCTGCGTATCAAAACACCTCATCCTCACATCTAGGGGCGAACAACTTTAGCTTATCCAATTTTATATTCAGCGCGTACATAGCTGCGCTAGCTGTGTCGTACAACTGCTGGCGGCAGACACGAAACGGCCGTTCTGGCCCATACAGTAAACCAGATATCGCGCACTCTCCTTAGCCTCACCAGCCAGCCTGACGATGCTTGAACAGCATTCCGTGTGTGCCGCTCGCAAAAACGGCTTGATTGGACATGCGGCTCAAGATCCACCCCAAGGTTCTCGGTCTAATCATTAAGAGTAAAGCAGCTGTTACCCAAGACTCTAAGGCTGGGACGACTCAGCTAGCCTCACATCAACATTGGTTCCGTACGAAACCACAGCGCAGTACAAGAAAACTCCCGTCTTCACTCTTGCGGTCAACAAGCATAACTTTATACCGTAGTTGCGCTAGCCGTTGTAAAGATTTTAGACGATGTCATATCGTGATCGCGGTGGCGGCGGTGGTTCACGGGCACCGCGCGTCTCGCTGGTTGTCCGCAACTTACCACTAGACATTCGTGCTGAGGTAAATGGGTAAATAAGGAAGGGAATTTGAAACATATGTGGTCTGAACCGTTCGCTGTCTCTCTCAGGACCTTCGCTCCAAGTTTGAGAAGTATGGCGAGTTGAAGGTACGTGGTTAAAGCACGTACTTTATAATGCTGATGGAGTTGACCTATCGAGTCTAGCTGTTCTACTACTTAGCCCGTGGTTCGCTGAAACCTTGTCCTTGTGCAAATAATATTGCAGGATGTTTACATTCCACGCGATTACTACACGCAGTGAGTCCGGGCATTGAAGCCCAAGGGGCGATCGGCAGCAGTTGCTGGCATGTGGAACACCCTGTAGAAGTGCGGCGTGAAGCTATTATTGTGTACCGTAATGATTCCTTTTGACGAGGACTTGCTTGTATGCCCGCTGTGGCATAGCTTCTCAGGCTTGACCCCCCGTAGAGCTGTCTGGGTAATGCATGGGCTCACGTATGGGAAATACAGTTTTCGTGCACAATGCTGCCTTCACGAAAGGTGACCGGAAGGCATCGTGAACAAGAGGCAAAGATACGTGGAGTCAGGCCAAGCTCTTCGCATATGCAAGGAGGCAGACGGAGGCAGGCCGACAGCAGATTTACATAGGCCTTATGATGCACTTAATGAAGGTCGCACTTCCAAGCTTGCGGTCAAAGTGTTGCTGGTCCAGTTTAGCATGGGGGATTAGCTTGTAGGGAGGAGCAGCATCCTGGGTTTCGGGTGTGGACAAAGGCCAAAAGGCCCCAACGTCCCCATTCGCCCCGTCTGAACGGATGAAAGCGGCGTCAAGGCATCTCTCCTCAGCATCCGAGTGCCCAGAAACCGAGTGCCCACGCATGCGAGTTTTCGAGTTGCGAGATGTTTGACGGTCGGAACGAGGCTGTTACGGACAAGCCCCAAGTGTTGTTGGCCAAGGGCTGCTGAGGGCTGAGCAGTCAAGCGAAGAATTTTTGCCTTCTTCGGGTATGCTCCCGACACTTGGGTCGCGTAGTTTACCTCCCTGAACAGCTGGCGCCTCTGTGCCTATTAATTAGCAAAGCATCCCACCTTCTCTGGCGTCATCTGGCCGGTTCTCGTCCACATGTGTTGCCCAGATTGTACCTTAAACGAGCGGGTTTCTCAGTTTTTCTGGGAGGAAGGTCGGGGTTGGGTTTGTCGAAGTGGCATGTTGATTGCCTAGCCTTATTACAAGTACCTGCTTCTGAACCGGAATTCACGTCAAGAGTTCCGGCGTTCATGCTATTTTCCAAGCCCTAAGTCTTTCGGGCATTTACCCCAGTTAACCCTTCCCTTGGCCTGGCAGGCGGCCCCGTGGATTTGGATTCGTTGAGTTTAAGGTCAGTGAGTACTAGTCAAAAGATCTGTAGCATGTCAATACCGTGGCTTGGAACTTGTAGCATCAGGGATGTCACGTTCTAATATGTCTCCAGCAACCCCATGGCCCACGTCGGCATTAGCATGAGCGCTGCCCCCGTCGGTGCTCGTAACGCAGGACACCCGTGACGCCGAGGATGCGATGTATTCGCTAGACCGGTCGACTATCAACGGACGCGAGATTTCGGTAAGTTGCGCGTTGCCCTTCGTTTTATGATGGTAATCATAGGTATCGTCGTTTGGTGCTCCAAATCCAGTATATTAGGTGCTTGCCTACCTCGCGTACAAGAGCAACAAACTGCAGCAGCGAGCTGGGCTTCGCCACAAAAATGCACACAGCCGTTGTCCCGGAGAGGATCTCATGGCGACAGACTTAAAGCAGATACCGGTTCGCACAGGCGTTGAATAGGAGTTAGATAAGCCGCAGTACATCAGGCTCTCTCGCCACGCATGTAATCCATGGTTTAGCTTAAACTTTACGGAGACTGCCTGCTTTCATCTTCGGAGCAGCGCAACTTGCGTGCGACGGGATGTGTGCCGCGACCTTGTGGGGTCGCAGCCGAACTTCTTTTTTGACTTAAGTCGCACGTTTATGCAGGTTACGTTTTCCAGGGAGGGCCGCAAGACGCCACGCGACATGATGAAGATTGAAGCACGACAGAAGGGTAAATACGGGCTGAAGGGCCGCAAGCCTGAGGCAATGTGCCGTGACCTTGTTGCAGTTGTGCGCTGGCTAAGGAAGACAAGTGCTGGAGGGATGCAGGTTGCTCACACACAGGGTGTTCCTTAACAGGTCTGCTGTTCTCCTGACCTGTAGCCGAAATACAGATTTGCACCTTTTACACAGGCTATGACGACCGGTATGATGACCGGCGGCATGACGATCGGCGGCATGACGACCGCCGGCACGACGACCGCCGGCATGATGACCGCCGCCGCAGCAGGAGCCGGTCGCCGCGGCGTCGGTACAGCCGATCACCCCGACGCAGTCGCAGCCGGTCGCCACGCCGCAGCCGAGAGCGGGAGCGGGACCGTAGTCCCCGCGAGGCCAGCCCTCGTGACCGTAGCCCGCGCGACCGTAGCCCTCGTGAGCGCAGCCCACACGAGTTAAGTCCCCGGGACCGGGATAATGGCCGGGAGCCAAGTCGGGACCGCAGCCCCCGGGAACGGGACTACGAACGTAGCCCCCGAGAACGGGATTACGAGCGTAGCCCGCGGGAGCGAAGCCTCAGTCGAGGCCGGAGCCCCTCCCCACGGAGGTAGGCATGGTGTTGGGATGGCACCTTTGGGGAGAGCCTTGGCCAGGCTCGAGGGGCAGCTGTAATTAATTTTTTCTGTTGTGTTTTACTGCAATGTGCTGTTGGATTAGCGCATGCCGCCAGAGGGAGCTGAGTAGCTGCATTTTATTACTAGTGGCGTGACGGTTGCCAGGCCTGTCAGGGGGTATTACACAAGCTTGAGCTGCGGCTTGTCAAATGCTCACGAAGACCGATGACTAGAGTCTTGTACGCGGGTAAATTCTAACATAGGTTAATTTTGTCAACACACCATTTCTACTCATGCAGGGAGTCACCGCCCAGGCCTGAAGCTGCTATGGAGGAGATGTGATGCATCTTCTGGTGGAATGACGTTGTTAGGTTTGGGCGTTGATTGTGTATATCACCTTGTGTAACTAAGCGAAAAGTCATGCACAGTGCTGTGAACGTGAGATTGTTGTAACCGTGTGTAGGACGATGTTCTGTTACATTTAGTAAGTCCTGGAGCCAGGGGCTGAAGGATCAGACTGTGTGAAACGAAATACTGACGAGTGTCACGACGTTTTGATATGTAATTTAGGGCCCTGATGTAGTAAAATGCCGGCATGATACCCAAGTTATTCCCCGGATCCCCCGGGCCTGTAAGACGCGATTGGTATGAGGTATGAGGATTTCACGCACGAGCTGGCAACTTCCCAGCCGCTCGATCCTGTTCTTCTTGCCGTTTGATTTCCTGCGTAAAACAAGTTTCAATTCAATACCCACACAGGACGAGCCAATGAACGAATTCCGTGTGTATAACATCCCCACAGCGTATGTCAGTATGCATTCCCAGAGTCAGCGCAGCTGCATGCCCAAGGCCACCACCGCAAACTTGACCGCAATAGAAACAGTTTCCGGATAACATCGTGCCCTCATCACGAATGCGACGCAAGGCGCACCTCTTGAATCTGCTCATATATGTTAGGTCGAGCGTATAGCACATAGCCATACGTAGCTGCCGGGATAGTGGCGAAAATCACCGTCACTGCCCACCTTGGCAACGGCATCCTGCCTAGAATCCTGACACAAAACAGTGTCCGAATCGATTTCCAACAGCAAGCACGTGTAGCTAATCACGCAGAAGTTGATTATAAGGTTATGTCGTCTTTTGCTTGACCTCTTTCGGAAAGATGTGGGATGGGCACCTTCAGACACAGAACATGCAACAGTTTTATGCTCTAATGGAATAGCAGGGTTATATTCTATTGTATTTTTCACATCCTTCCAAAATCGCCAGGATAATGTCGTACGGGCACTGTTCCCGGGCATACATGCATGGGCGGCCAGCTTGCAGTATGGCGCCACACGACTTCGGGACTCACTACAACGAAACCTTTTACGTTCATGCCTAGCTTTCCTGGTTTGGAATTTGTGTCTACCGTTCTATGGCCGGGGTTGAACATGCGTGTGAAAGTTTGTGTCGACCAGCGTCGGTCCCTCCTTGCCTCACGGCAGACCCGGAGCTCTTTTTTCAAACCACAGGCATTACATAAGTTTGATTACAGCTTTTGCCGCCACGGATTGCAACAACCTATGCAACCTATGAAAGAGCCACAGAGAGCCACACACCCAGCTTCACTCGAATCCTCTGGCTCATTTTCTTCCACCCCATTTCCGCCTCTCGGCCACACGCATAGCCCAGCCAACACCATCGTCCCTGCATTGCGCTAAAAGCCATACGTGCCAATGCGTGAAGTCTAAGGTTGCCTGCCTACGGGCTGAATACAAGTAACAAATGCATCCCGGTCGCCTCTACGGCTTGGAAAGCTGAAAGCTGACAAAAGCCAATCAGCCAGTGTTCACATGGTATCGGTCCTCACACACCCAGCTTGCGCATGTATGCCAGAACCTCCCACATCAACTCCAACAAACTGAATTACGACGGGGCATCATGCATGTGAAGGCAATCCACAAGTTCTGGATCCTCACCGCTAGCCTACAGCTACAATACCGACTAAAACCTAACCAAGCTAAATACTTGCAGTCTCAAATGGCTGCCCCCCCCATCATCTCTCTACCCTAAGTCATAACGTTGCTGAGATTCCTTTGCTATTGTTCTCTCCACTCTGCAGCAGCCGCAGTCCGCAGGCCCGTTATCCGCGCACCAGCTGGCAGCATAACGACAAGGATAACGAACAGCAGCCGAAACAGAACAGAGCAACAGGCACAGAATATCAACTACAGCAAAACACCAACACCTCCACCAACAGAAGCAACAACTTAAAACAAAAGCACATCAAGCAATCTCGGTTATAACAACCACCTGTCACACCAACAACAACATACTGCCCCGCAGATTGCCCGCTCATTCATCGCTCCTAGAGTCTCGCCCCCCCCGGGAGAGACACAAACCAACAAGAGACAAACTCGGAAGCAGAAACTCCCCAGGCACGGAGATAAAACTTCCCAACCCGCCACTCCTCCGTGATTGCTAAAGCTCTCCACCACCACCACCGAATACCAACCGACAGAAAGCCAACCAGTACTACTAGACCACCATCCAACACTTCACTCCACGTCAATGGCGGGAAACTTCCTCCCTCTTCTCGCCCACATCATACATATGTATGTCCTACTGTGTCACCACGCAGGACGCGCCGCGCCAAGGGGCGGACGTTCCCCCTTGCTTTCTCCCCTGCTGTCCATCGGCCGTTCCTTTTCTTGCAACACAAGTCCCCGGGGAACGCATGTCGGTTCATTACCCTGCCCTGCACTTCCGTACTCAAAAAATCTGTACACGGTTGGAATAAAATGTAACCACAACTAATATATCCATGTGCGTCCAGATTTCGTACTGTCTGCAATACGGCATATACGACAACACTATCACCGTGACTGCATTATGATATAATGAAATACGTGAAGTGCGCCGATGGAACCGCAAAATGTACTCTCTGATGTACTCTCTCCTGTGCTCGTCTCAGCCTGAGGCGTTTGAGGCTCTTCAGGGTGGGTTGCGATGATGTCGCACCATGCAGCATTGATCGGCAACCTCGCACCACTGAGGCCTGTGGCAACAGAACAAGTAAAAGAACGTACATGCTATACATACATACATACATGCCTACATACATACAGGAGCGCTGAATGGCGTGGGGCACAAAACCCACGTGCTTTGGGCACTTGTGCTTCTGCCTGCTGCTGCAGCGGAAATGCACGTACAGCACACGCAGTTGGCTAGCCAGCCAGCCAGCACCCAAGCCACCCACGAAACCGAATGCGAACCAAAGGTAAGGTGTGGACCAATCAAACCATAAAATAGTAAACGCAAAGCACTTTGACAACGATTCCTGCTAGGGTATGGGAACGCGAATCAAATACGGAAAATCATCAAACGCGGATTCTCATCGTTCCATAACGCTCCGCAGCAGAGCTCTTCGAGTAGATAAGCTACATGCCTAGCTCAATTACATACAAGTGTACGGAAATAAACATCCATCCCATCCTTGCTTGATTACTTGTCCTTACATCAACAGAAGTACTTCGTACGGCATTCCTCAGGAGACGAATGCGATATATCCAACTGATTGCCGGCACGTCTTTCCCACCCCGCTCACCCCGCTCCTTTACTCCTCCTCCCCTCCTCCTCCTCCTCCTCCTCCTCCTGTAACCGCGTACCACGTACCCTAGGCCTGACGGTGAGCTTCGTTCCTTCTCCACTCCTCTAAAACGCCCCACCCGGTCCCCACTCCAACCAGCCGTCCTTCCAAGCCCTTCTCCCCTTTCATGCCTTCGCACCAACATCCGCCGGCTGGCGTCCTCTCCCGATCGACCCTCAACCCACACCACCCTCCGCATCACCACTTCAGCACCAAACCTCAGCATCACAGGTACCTCTTCACCGCATAGTCGCCCCAGTACACGGCGTACTGGTCCCGCTGGAAGACCGCGCAGCTGATGTCGCCGCCCGCCCACAACCCCACGTACCAGCTCCTGAAAGGTCGGGGTTGCGCCGGGGGGGGGGGGGGCGGAGGGCGTTGTTGTGTTTGGAGCGGTGTTTGTGTGTGGAGGTCGCACGGGGAAGAAAGAGAGTTGGGTTGTTGGATTCGGGGCGCGTTTCGGTAGTTGGTTGGTTCCGGAGCACTTCGGAGCATTTGCTTCTGCTCCAGGGGGTTTGGATCAGCCCACGGCCGCCACACACCGCTTCATACACCGCACTGTTGCATTCGTACTCTAGTACGACGACGTGGCGGTGGGTCAGTGCCATCCGAAGATGCAGATGTTGCACACAGAGCTTGCAGGAGGACAGACAGACAGACAGACAGACAGGCAAACAGACAGACAGACAGACAGACAGACAGGCAGACAGACAGGCAGGCAGACAGCAGATGCTTGGGTGGGGCCTGCGACCCGAAACGCCTCAAGAGTGAGTGCCACACACACAGGAGCCCATCCCGTTCCTCCCACCCATTAATTCGATCAACCTACAACCTCTCAACTGTTTACAACTATCTACAACTGTCCCGACCGTGCCAACCAGGCGTTTCCGAACCCACCAATGTCGGAATGATGGAAGGCGGTTGATCACATCGACGGCTTGTCCTTTAACCTTAAGCAACAGCTGGTTGGTATGCGGCTGACCTTGCCGCAAAATGAGCTCCACAGAGTCACCTGAGCGACCCGTGGGTCGGCCGTTAACAAGGGCGTGGGGGAACGGGGAGGTAAAGAACGATGAAAGGGCGGGAAAGGTGAACGAAGAGAGCGGCCAAGGGCGGACTAGGAACTTGGAAATGTATGCACTCTTGGAGTGTGAAGTGCACTGCAGACAGACAGACAGACAGACAGAGATAATGTTACACCACAAGAGCTGCGGGCATCCAAGGCCCCTCCCCGACCTCTCCCGGAACGCAAATACGTCAACAGGTACCTTGAGAGGCAACTGGCCAGTGTCCCCCGGACACCCCGCTCTCCGCCTCCCCTGCATCTCTCTCTCCATCTCTGTACGCACATGCGCGCGCGTGTGTGTGTATGTATGTGTACGTATGTATGTCAGTTGACGTAGCGTGGTCCGACATCGGTCCGTGGGGGACGTTCTTACCCTTTCTCCAGAGCGGTTGCAGCTCTCCCACCAGCTCCCCTCCTGTCCCCTGAGGCCCCAAGTGGGAGTGGGGTGGCTGTAGCTGCTGCTGCCACTGCGGTTGTGGGTTGTGGGGTGGGCTGGGCTGGGAGGAGCCGCCCGCGACAACCGAGGAGGGGGGGGTCGTGGGGGGGCCGGAGGAGGCGGGTGAGGAGTGGGAGGGGGAGGAGGGGGATGGTGTTGCACTCATCGGCGGCTTCATGCACGGCTCCGTGGCACCTCGGGCGGCCTCTGATGGTGCTAGCGACGACGACGACGATGATGATGGAGATGATGATGGAGATGATGATGGAGATGTTAAGGATGGGAGGTCCTGCAGGCCGCGTCTTGGTCCGCTACCGCCGCTACTGCTGCTGCTGCTGCTGCCCAGCCTACCGCCCCCCGTGTGGTCGTTGTAGGTGCAGCCGTTACTCTGACATACGACACGATATAACACAGGACCGGGGAGGTAGGAGCATAGGACAGAATGAATGGAACGGGGTGGCGGGATGGTGTGGTAAGAATGTTGTCGGTATGTACTTTATGTCATCATACATAAACGCAGAAATGCCATTTTGAGGGTGTCTATTACTGTGGGCGCGGAAGAAGTGTAGATATGTGAAGCGAGGGGCACCTTTTGCGGGGGACGCATCAGCGCCTCCTACGCCGACTGCTAGCAGGCCAGGCCGGTCAGATAGCACACTAGCAGTTGGCGACGTAGATCAAGCCTGTTGCGGTTGCCTGGTTCGTTGTAGCGTAACCAGGCATCTCGCACCTTCACAACCTCCTCAAGCTCAGGGCCCACCTGCACCCCTTTCCCCCCCTTCCCCCCACACAGACACACAGACACACAGACACCCCTCTCTACCTTCCAGCCGTAGCAGGGAATCTGAGCGCCCTTCCTGTCCAGCTGGGCACGTGACGTAAGGCCCAGGAAAACACCCCCGGGCAGCAGATCCCGCCGCGATACGAACGTCATTGAGATCTGTCCCTCGTCGTACGTCGTATCGATGAAAATGTCGAAGGGTTCGGCCGCCGAGGCGGCGGCGGAGCCGCCGCTGGCACCCGTCGGCGCGGGAGCCGCCGCCGCCGCCGCCCGTACGTCATCTTCTGTGTGCACGCTCACCCTCAGGCCGCGCGCTTCGGTGTAGTCTGTAGATATGTAAAACAGCTGGGATATACTCGGGAATGTACGGACCGGCAGCGGCGACAGCTTGGTAATGGTACGGTCGGCGGCGCCGCTGCCGCGACCGCCGCCGCCGGCGTCACGGCTACCGTAGCGCCGCGGCGGCGTGAGCCGCGACGCGTCATTTGCAGCGGCGCCGCCACCAGCCGCACTGCCAATCTGCCGGCTGCTGCTAGCGGTCCGCGGCGGCGGCGGCGAGGCCTGGCGCGCTGGTCTTCCGTCGCCGCCGCCGCCACCCTGCTGCTGCTGCTGCCGCTGCTGCGCCGTGTGATTTCGGTCATTTTGACTGTTACTGTTGCTGTCCCTTGTTATGAGGGAAGAGTTCGGTTCGGAGCGCCCATGGGCGCCATCATCACTGCTACTGCCTCCGCCCCTGCTACTGCCGCCACTACGGAGGCTGCCGAGGATGCTGCGTGTCACCGTGTCAGGAATGAAGTCCTCACTGTCTATTTTGGGCTCCGGCGGGTGGTGGTTATGATTATGGTGGTTGTGGTGGTTATGATTATGCCGCTGGCGCTGCTGCGATGTATTATACCCCAGGGTGGGGCGGGTGCGGTGGCAGCGCTGCTGATTTGGGTTTTGGCCTTTGCGGATTCCATAGCTTCCATGGCGCTGGTGGGCATTGGTGCTCCCGGAGTCAGAGTCCGGAAGCTGTTCATGTTTCTGTTGCTGCCCCCGCTGATGTTGATGCTCGACCCAACCTGGAACTGGATCTGGATCGCGAAGAGATCTCCCTGCGGCCGCAGCAGCCGCCGCCGCCTCGTCACCTGCGGCGGCACCCCCTTCATCTGCCGCCGCGGCAGAGAAAGAGACAGAGGCAGTGTGCTCGCTGGCGCCACCACGCCGCACAGCACCGGGACCGGCAGCTGCGGTGCCGCCGCCACCACCACCGCCGCCGCCTCGCCCGCCTCCCCCATCACCCTCCTGCCAGTTCCTTTTCCTACTCTGCTGCCGCTGCTGGCGGTGGTGCCGCAGGTGGTGCCGCAGGTGGTGGCCATCAGCAAGGTCAGGCCGCCGCCGTCGATCACCCAGATAAGGCACCCCCGCCCCCGCCCCCGCCCCCGCCCCCGCTGCCGGAGTCGTCGTCGTCGTAATAGTAGTAGAGGTGATGGCCTGAGGAGGCAATGATGACCCACGGGACGTTTCCGTGGTCTGCTGCGGCTGATGAAGTGGCTGGTGAGGGAGAGCTGAAGGAGGAGCCGGCGGCCGCCGGGATAAGTCGTCGGCCAGCGGGTCATGGCCGTGCGCGATCGGAATGGCCGCTCCGGGGTACGGCAGCACCTCCAAGTACGACAGGAGGCGACGGAAGGGCGCTTCGTCGGCGGGTTGTACGGCTGGCAGACAACCGACAAGGCTTCCTGCGGGCGGTTGTTAATTCGTGCGGGTGGATGGCAGTGAAGGAGATGAGGGAGATGAGGCGATACGCACAAACGCCTTTCTCACCACATTTTTTAGGCCCCCACCCCCCACCCCACCCCCCACCCGACCTTCCCCGCTCACCTCCGGTCACAGTAGCCTCCCTCAGGTATCGGAGCACCAGTTGAAAGAGATTTGGATCGCAGTCCAGGCAAACACGACCACAGCTGTCGTACCTGAGCTCCCCCTCCGCCCCCTGCCGGAACATGGCGGCCAGGCGGCTGCCGGGAACCACCTGAAGGGTGGAGCTGGGGGCCGGGGGCCCAGGGGGGGAGGGGGTGGGTAATGGGCGCGGGTAAGCAGGTCACGTGGGATGGCGGTGCACCAGCAGGAGCTCCCACTAGTTGTTATTTGGGGTCAAATTCTTTAACTATAGCCCCAGCCCCAATCCCAGCACTAGTCGTGCCCTCAGTCAAAGGCCCTGATCACGCACCATCTGATCCGCGCTAGCTGGTCCTGTATAGCCGTATGCGCGGGTTTCCATCGCCGCATAAGGCCCCAAAGTCAGCCCTCCTATCAACCCCCACGAGGGCACTAGGCCTCTCCCGCCTTCCCGCTTGGCCCGCGGACTCATGACCGGTCAAACTAAAGCCCGTCCAAGGTAAGGCCCTTCAACCATAAGACCCTTATAAAGGCCCACATAAGGCCCTTCTCCCCCGCCGGTTCTCACCGTGTGGTTTGCATCAGCTTTCCCCCGACGTTGAGTTCCAGCAGGTCATCTTCACCGGAGCCGGGCAGGGGCTCGCGGGACAACATGCGCTGCCGCCGGGCCCAGCGGATGCTGGAGAGCCGGGCAGGGCGACAGCTGTCGTTGCCGCCGTTGCCGCCGCCTGGGGCTCCCCCTCGGGGTTCCTCTACGACAGCTCGCACGCGCAGCGCCGCGGCACCTGTAGGTGTGTGGGTGTTTTGGAGGTTTGTGCGGGTTTGTGCGGGCGGGCGTGTTGCTAGATGCTGGTGAGAATGGGGTTGCGGGATTGTTTGGTGGAATTTGAAGGTGGTTTATGAAGACGGTTCCGATCGGGACCTTCTGCAGGATATGCCTAGCATCCTGCGGCCCCACTTATCTGTTAAGACAAACGTCTACAACATTAAAGTGAAGAAATAATTGTTACGAAGAGAAGATTTGCTAGACGGTATATTGGTGCTGTACGGGCATGTCATGGTTTGCGGATGAAGTGGGCGGGCAGCTTGCCGGTGGTGACGAGCTTAAATTGATGATTCGCTGGCGTTAAAAGCCAATCGCATTGTGGAATCATTGCGTCCCAAGAAGGCTTTAATAAACGCACCTGGGTGCAGGCGCAGGCGCGCCGAGCCCAATGGCGCGGCGATAACCACTGGACCACCTGTGACGACAACCCCACCAGACCAGGCTTTGCACTGCTGAAATCGCCGCATTTAGCAAAGTTGATTTACAGGTGATGGTAGCTCCTGAAACAAGGAACATCGGGGTTTCGCGCGCATGGGGCACATCACACATCGACAACTGTCCAAGCTGCAAAATGATGAACGATGATTACAGCGAGCCAGAATCAACAAATGCAGCCGCTCTGCACAAGCTGAGGCCACGGCGAAGGAGAAGCGCGCTTAACGACGCCCTGGTTCACAGTGTCCAAAGCCCTTTTGCCAAGAAAACACCAGTAGAGGTCGACAAGAGCATGTCCAATATCGTGCTTACATTCACCTGCTTCATCCTGCATAGATACCATGTCGCTGGCGAGTTGATACGCTCTAGATACTAGTAAGCAATGCAGCGCTTTGCAAGCAAACAAGCGCATATTACAGCCGATACTGACATATGTACATCAGCCATGATTGTCGAACTCACCTCCTGTGGAGGAAAAAGTTCCGAAACGCGCGACAGTTGCTCCTTGCGACGACCGCAGAAAGACGCGCTAGCCGTGTATACAGAAAGCATAAGAACACGTTTTCCTCTCCATTTACTAACCTGTTCATTTTCAGCGATCAATGTTTAGAAACGTCCCGGAAACAGTCAACTTTCCGTACGTGCGTTCCTCTTTCAGCTGCCACAAACAGATAGATGTATCACTGTAACTTTTCCATAACTTCAAGCTGGCAACTCTTATGACAGGGTAACTCGTTATTACATGCTGAAGTGGACGTATGAAGTTGCCATCCATTGGAGCAATAGATTAACCCGAGGCCTGAAAAATTGTTCTGCACAGTTCTTAAAAGCCGTGCCTCGTCGGCATAGTCGTCCCATGGCTGAACAGCCCGGACTTGACGACGCACAATCGCCATCAGGAGGAAGCGCAGACTCCAGTAGCGATGACGATGATGGAGTGACGCACGTGGGCATTGAGCTGGTTCCCAGTTTTGACCTTGATGCTGCAGGTATGCCCACACCTAACCTGGCTGGCGAGCGCATGCTGCTATCGTCTCGCAACAAACTCCCCCCCATGAATTGGGCTAAACTTATTCCGAACCTGCTATCCACAATCCGACCAGGACAATTACGTACGTTGATCGCACCACTAGCATATCGGAGTTTATGGTCCAGTCGTGTATTCTCCGCCGACTTATTGACCCGCCACGTGCTGTCGTACTCGTGCACATACACACACAGGTACGGGGCCTGCGGCATGGGGCGGCGTGCGCCACTTCGACCCCAACACGGCGGCGCAACACCGCTACCTAGGGGGTACGTTCCACACGAATCCATACGACAGGTTGATGGACAGATAGACAGACTAGCAGACACTTAACAGTGGACCGACAGACAGACGAACTTAACGAGCAGACGGACCCCAACACAAACGGACAACGAACACACGTAACCCGCTGGGGGTTATACACCGTGCCATATGCCGGGAGGGGCTTTGGAAGCATTGGCTGTGCTGCCGTACATTCTTTCCACGTGCCAGATGCATGTTTTTGCTTTCTAATCCTTTTGCCGTACTTCGCGTCTGTCCACGTCCTTCCTTGCCCGTACATGGTTCACGTGGTCACTCTCGTTCCTCAATTCCGCAGATGTGGACGAGCTGGGTGGAGGTTCGAGGTTGCTGGAGGAGGGCGCCACATACACCCTGCCGCTGTTCCCGCTAGAGGGTGGGTCGCGGGGCGAAGGGGGGAGGAGAGGGGAGGAGAGGGGAGGTCACGCAAAGGGGGCTTAGGGGGCCAGGGGGAAATCATTACACAGTACGACACAGCAAGGTATATCTTGGAAAGGTATGCAGCCAGGGTTAGCTGTCGTGGCCGTCCCTGAGACTCCCAGTCGCTGTTTTCCCCACCCCCCCCCACCCCAAACCCCTCCCATGCCTTCCCATGCCTTGCCTTGCTTCGTGCGGATGATATCCCCCGTGACCGTATCCGTGACCCTATCCGTGGATTATCCGTGCATCTCTGGTATCTGGTTTCCATTCGCCAGTGGTTCGTCTTGTCCCCTTCCCCCCCAACCTACCTAGCGTGCCCTACACACACACACACACCCCTTGTATCCCCCCTCATCTCCCCAACCCCTGAAACCCCGCCGAACCCAATCCGGACTTTGGATTTTGGCGGTCCGATTCCGACTTGCTTCCATGTGTGATCTCCCCCCTGCCCCCCTGCCCCCACCCTGCAGGTGTAGTGCTGCTCCCCGGCGAGAACCTCCCCCTCTTCCTGCACTCACCCCAAGATGTGCTCAAACTGGAGAGGGCCCTCAGACTGCCGCCCGGGGCACCCACCGCGAGGCTGATTGCGGTGGTAGGGCCGGGGGTGCGTGTAGATGTGTGTGTATGTATGTATGTATGTGTGTGTATGTATGTATGTGTGTGTTTTGGAAGGGAGTATCGGGATGTGCGATTGTGTGCAGAAAGGGAAAGAGTCTCCAAGGCAATCTGAGCTTAATACTCGACAAGTACTGGTCCAGGAATGAAGTAGTGGTAGAAATATTTGAAATGTTTGAAGATTTAGATATCTTTCGAAGATGTAGGAAAGCGCCAGAGCGAGCAGGAATAGCCGTCTCTGTAGTAGTGGAGCGGCAGCGGTGGACTACCGGCTGGGGGTGGGCGGCTAGAGTCGACTGTGCTAGCTAACAATGGACGCCGCCTCCTTGATGGCTGTGCAGTAAAAAACATTTTGTGAAAGTGTTTAGAAATTTGAAAGCCGTACGGCGCTGTCTTGCACCCAACTACAAATCCTATATCTTCTGACCAATCACCTTCCCCCCTTTCACCTCCCCAGACGCACACCTCCTGGCGTTCGCACATGTCCCTGGTGGGATGTACGGCAGAAATACGGCGACTGCGCCGGCACACGGCGGAAGACGAGCAGGCAGCGGGGGCGATGGGGGCGGCAGCCGCTGTGGGAGGAACCGTCTTGGGTCCGGAGAGGGTCGCTGCCGCCGCCGCTGACGGCAACCGCGGCGGCGGCGCCGCTGCCGCTGCCGCCGCCGGCCGAGCTCTCCCCTCTATGGTTGCCGTTGTAGCTCGTGGTCGTCAGCGGCTGCTGATTGATTTGTCAGCCCTGACCGACACGTTCCGGGTTCGTGTCAAGGTGTTACCCGAGGGTATGGCGGAGAGGCCGCCGCGGCAGGTGGGGGGAAGGGGAGGGGGAGCATCGCATGCAGTCAAGTGGCGGTTGATGGGGAGGTTGGCGGGGAGGAGGGGGGAAAAGGGGGGGGTGGGGAAAGTGTATGTGTGTGTATTGGGATTGCGTGGACAAGGGAAAGAAGGGAGGGGGGAGTTCTGGAGCAGTGGAGGAAAGGGGAGAGGGGGCGGCACCACAACGGTGTTCGTTCGTTTGCTAATTCAGTGCTCCTGCTGCTACTGCTGTTGCTGTTGCTGTTCCATCCGCCGTGTGCTTTCCCGGATTCAAATTTTTGAATTCAAACCCGGCCGTCTGCAGTTGGCGGCTGGAGCGGCGTTTTGGTCCCCTTGGGCAGCTCGGCTGTACGACGTCCCCGCACTAGCCGGCCGGGTTCAGGAGCTGTGCAGCGGTGTACTGCCGCAGGTTGGGGGGGGGGGGGAGGGGAGGGGAGGGGGGATGTGCGGGTAGTGGGAGGACGCGCGTCTGTGTTTGCATGTGCGTGTGTACGTGTGCGCATTGCGTGCGTGCACGTGTATGTGCTTGTATGTCTATGCGACATGAAACGATGTCACATACTCGCGCCCCGGGGTCTTGTTGCCCGCCACAGCGCCCGCAAACACCACCTCACACCACCACCACCTTCGGCATTTCCCTCGTCGCGGCTCAGATCATTAAAACCAATATATGGCGGTGGCCTTGGCTGTCTGTGCGTATGTATGTCTATGTCTGTGTGTGTGTGTGTTGAATTTGAACAACCCGCTCCCTTTACCCGCACTTCGTCCCAAAACCCGAAACTCCCTCTTTCCTCGTTCCTTGCCCCCCATCCCTTTCCTCCGCAAGATCGCCTCCAAGTTTGGCCCCAGTACGGCAGTACGGGGTCCTTTAGCTCTCCAGCGGTACGGATACTGGCTGGCATCCAACCTGCCTCTCAGCGCAGAGCGGGTACGACAGACTGGCGTATGTACGGGAGGGCAGTTAACTATCGACCAGCTCCTAAAAGCATCAAGACGCACATCAATTCTCTCTTTCCTTGCACACTCGGTTGTTCCTGTGTCGTACTGTGTTTAGACCTACACCTCTACCTCTACCTTCCTACACTGTCAGGAGTCGATTTGGAACTATGAGTTCAAAACGGCATCCATGTGGTGGTGGTGGTGGTGGTGGTGGTGGCGGTGGTGGCGGTGGTGGTGGTGGAACACCGCTCTCCGCCCTTCCTCGTCACCACCCCGTCACCGTTGCTTAGTTAGGCTACTCTGCGCCAGCAATTTGCTCGAAGCTCATCCCTAGATCCATCCGTACTTGAGCGTACTTGAGGCCTCCCCTCCCTGCGCCAACACCCCCCAAAACCCCCCACCCAACTCACAATCTCGTCCACAAATCAAAACACGCACGCACGCACACACGCACGCGCACAGCGGCAGTTGCTACTGGAGTGTCGCGACGCGGCCGAGCGGTTGCGGCTGATGTCGTGCATGTTGACCCGGCTGGGGACCCTGGCGTGTAAGGTGTGCGGGTCGCAGGTGAGGTGAGCTGAAGGGAAGGGCAGGGGGGAAGAGGGGGAAAGGATGAACCACAAACGAGTGAAGCTGCTGCCAAGGAAAGAGTGTAGAAGAAGCAAAACTGACCAGTTGGCGGTTTTGAAGAAGCCGACCTCGGGATGATGTAGTGATGACGACCCCGGAAACCTACCTACCTACCTACCTACCTACCTAGCCGCCAAAACTAAAATAAGAGCGGAAGAAAAGCAGTAATGCCAAGCCGTAAAGAAGTGAAGGGAAGAAAGGGGGAGAAATGCGTAATGACATCACATGATGGGAAATGTAAAACACGTCAACTGCCGACATGGGCAGGCTGTAGGAGAAAGAAGGGGAGGAGAGGGGTAAAAGGGGATTTAGCGGGGCGGTGTGGGGTTAGGGGCGGATCTTCACACCGCGTGTGGCTCACCCACTTGGGAGAGAGGATGGCGGTGGAAAAGAAGTACGGCAAGAGAAGTACGGATGATAATCGGGTCCCAAGTCGGGTCTTTCCTCCCCTCCCAAACCCCTATCTGGCAACTATCCCAGGTACCAAACTTTGGTCTCGTTCGACAGTTTGCGGTTTGGGACGTCTCAGCAGTAGATCCTTAGCTTGTTGTTGCGTGAGGGTAATTCCTGCCGTTGCCTGAACAGGTAACCCGCTGCAGCTGGGCCTTATTGATGAGCTCTGAAGGGGCGGGAGGTGCGTTCGTCAATGCACACGGCTACGTGCACGACATCGCCACGTTCAGGTACGACCGTGTACGGCAGCTCACGCTTCACGTTTGGTTCTTATCGGGGCCTCACCTGGCATTCAGTCCTCCGCCGAAACCCGTTTTGCCGACTGCAGCAGTGTGCGGTGATAGCAGCAGCGCCAGCAGTAGCAGCAGTAGCGTGGAAATTAGCTGGTTATTGCGGGCCGTTGTCGATATGCTGGTAGGTCATCCAATGCGGTACGACAGACATACGCACGTAGATGCACGCGTCGGGCGCACGTACGACGGGTTTTCCCTTCCCCGCATCATAACCCGAAGATTTGATCAGAGATTCCAACGCACATGCGATTGCATCCAGACATTTTGATGTAAAGAAAAGTAAGAACATTCCCCCTACGGGCTACTCTGTTGCTTTTTGGATTATTTCATGTAAAGCTTCCTTTTCTCGCAGACACCCCATCCCCCCCCCCCCCCGCATCCACAGATTCATCCACAGGTACATCCGCGCTCTTGAGAGGGGTTGCCCTCCTGGCCTCAACCCGAACCCAACCCCCGGCCGCCGCTTGCCCATCCCCTGCCTGCCCACCCCCTCGGCCATCCGTACATTCTTCCCTCAGGGCCGTACAACGCCTGTCGTACCAGGGTCAACCGGAGACGGCTTACTCGTGGTTTCCCGGATACGCTTGGACGATTGCCAACTGTACGACATGTGGAAATCACCTTGTACGGCGTTTCTGGGGGGTTGTGGGGTCGGGGTGTGTGTGCGTGTGGCTTCCTAGTGTGTTTTGGGGGGTTGCGTCATGCTTGTGTGCACGGGGAGAGTATATGCATTCCTCGTACATGCGTACGACAGGTATAATATTCACTTCCTTAGTGCATACGCTCCTCCTCCCCGGGTATGTTGTTCTCACTTGCGTTAAGGATTATATAAAACGGTTAATGAAGAGATAATAAAAGTATAGCAACACCTTTGTCCGAAAACGTTTGTTTTTTGTCGAAGTTCCTTCTCCTCCGCAGCCCCGTACCTTGTACATGTCGCCCCGTCTCCTCCCTTCCCTCGGTATCTGTAGCTGTTTGGTCGTCCCAGTCGCGAGCCCCTCTCCCGCTTGAACATGTGCGTGCTTTTTACGCGCGTGCGTTTGCATGTGTTCGTGTGTACGGCACAGGGCTGGCGCTTCACCGCCACTCCAGGTGCGCCTTTGGAACCCTCCATGTTCTGGGGGCTCAGGAGGCCGGCCCTCGTTTGCAGGGACCTGCAACGACGACCTGGACCAGACCACCAACATCACCAACATCACCACCACCAACAACAACAACGACAGCAGCAGCAGCAGCGACAAGGACAACAAGGTGATGTGGACGCGGAAGTAGTAGGAGGAGAGGGGCAAGAGGAAGGGGGGGAGGGAGATGGGGGGCGGATACATGCGGAGCGGTCGTTGCTTGATGCGGTGGCGGCGACGTTTCTATTTTCTGCGCCGGTGGGGGCTGCGTCGAGCAGCGAGGACGGAGAGGAGGAGGGAGAGGGGGAGGAGGGGGAGGTAGAGGAGGGGGAGGATTTCAGTGACGGGGAGGGGGAGCTATGAAGGAGGCGGGGTTAGGGAAAAGATTGACCGTGTGGGGGTTGTTAGGAGGTTTGTGTGGTGTGTGTGCCTCATTTAAACGAGCGGCAGGAAGGGCCGTTGTGTGTGTGCGATGGATGACCTGTGTTTAATTTGACCAAGTGGACATCGGGTTTGGATCTCGCTCCGCAATACGATTGCCTTATGGCATTAGGGAGGTGGAGCGCACTGAACCTTTCTAGTTACTGTTGGATCAAGATGCCGCTGCCTCGCGTGTGAGTTGTGCGAGGTTGTTGTGGCCTTTGCGCTGTGCACTTGGTTAATGTATTCGTTGGTTAGTTGTGCAGGTGGTTGTGCAGGTGGTTGCAAGCGCTGGGAAAGAGGTGCTTGTCATATGCCCTGTTTGGCAAGGCATCTGCCACCATGAGGGGGGGAGGAGGATGCATGTACGCCGCGTTTTTCGTCGTTGCAGAGGCGAGTAGTCGTTCGGCTGTTCGAACAGGGGGAGGGGTGTAAATAACGCACGGCGGCGGCACAGGGTGTAGGGTGCAGGAATAGGAAGTGGGAGAGTAGATCGTGGCTTGCATTTCCTTTCTCCCCTTTCTCGCGGCAGTACAGAAGTCTACAGGCCATTGGGTCCGTCGAATTAATTGACCACCCGTCAGCGGCCCAGCACAAGGCGATGCACGCACCGCTCCGTCCGAAGCACACACGGCCGTCGCAGCACGCACAAGCAAGCAACGAGTCGAACACACATCCGAGGGGTAAACAGTCCCCCCTAACGTGCCATTTGCTCACAAACAAGCTTAATACGGAAAAACATACATACATACATACATACATACATACATGCACGCGACGACACGCTCCAATTTTATGGCTCTGTTGAAAACAACTGATACACTTCAACACCCCACACCCTTGCGGTTCCGTTTCCAAAAGCGCACCCGCACACATACATACATACATACATACATACATACATACATACATACATACATACATACATACATACATGCACGCGACGACACGCTCCAATTTTATGGCTCTGTTGAAAACAACTGATACACTTCAACACCCCACACCCTTGCGGTTCCGTTTCCAAAAGCGCACCCGCACACATACATACATACATACATACATACATACATACATACATACATACATACACACATACATGGCAGCTATCCTGTTGTTTCTTCGCGTATTCGGCACTCTACTCTTCCGCCGGTTCGTTGGTACGCTTTGATTCAGTTAACGTGCACGCAACTGCTCCTGAACACCTCCTGCCAGCCACATGGCCTCACACGGCCGCCAGCCGGCCCTCCTGCAGCATTCGAAGCAGCTCCTTCTTGTTCACCTTTCCCATGGCGTTGCGGGGCAGTGCAGTAACCCAGTGCCAGCGCTTGGGGACCTGGTTAGGTGCGGGGGGGGGGGGGGAAGGAGTGGATTTTGGGGGCTAGGGTTTTGTCGCGAGCGGCCTGTCGCAGGAGTTAAGTGACGACGCACTTTCATCATCAAGGGGGCTCCCATGGGGTTTCGGTTTTGGTGGTTGTAACAGTTAGTTCGCGGGTTTGAAGTGACTGGGGCTTGGGGGACGTCCTCCGCGGGACTGCGGGCTGGCGAAAGTTAAGCCGGTTGGTGAGCGCCTCAGAGGGAAGAAGAGGGTCGGCTGGGGCTCTGGGGTCTCTCGTGGGTTCTGAAAACTGGGCGTGAAGACAACTTAAAACAACAACAAAATCCTAACATCGTTGCATGCATGCATGTAAGTGCATGTGTGTAAGCGCATGTGTGTAAGCGCATGCATGTAAGCGCATGTGTGTAAGCGCATGTGTGTAAGTGCATGCATGTAAATGCATGTGTGTATTGCACCATCCCACCGGAGGACCCCCCACCCCCCCCCAAGATCAAGCGGCCGCTACCTGAGGACCTGGCTTTGGCCAGAACACCGACACGTCTGCCGTACACGCAATACACACAACACACATATTCTTCAACAGCATGCCACACCTGGTACGGCGCCAAGCGCTCTCGACAGAACCGCTGCAGCTCCCCCACCTCAGGCCGTACCGCCGCCACCGTTGTCGTCGTAGCAGGTTCCTCTGCCGTAGCCGCCGACGAAGCTGCCGCTACCGGCGGTAGTGACGGCGGCGGCTGCTTCACCGCGACCAAGGCTGTGACCACCTCTCCGAACGTCTCATCCGGGACCCCCAGCACGGCCACCTCCGCGATGGCGGGATGCTCCAGAACCACGCTCTCGACCTGTACGACAGAGTGCCCCATGGACGCGTGTCCGCTTGTATAATGTGGAAGAGGGGGGAAGTGAAGTGACAGCCCCGGGTTCAGTGCTGCTTTAGTGCTCGCACGCCTCCTCTGTGACTAGGCGGGTGCTATGGAGGCTACATTGTCGTTACCGGTGACGGTGGGAGACCATCATATCACAAACATGTGATATGTGAGGGTGTCATGATCTGTTCCCTGCCTTTCTCTTCACTCCGGAGAGTTTCCACAAATGCATCAAATATCTGTACATACTTCCATACATAATCAAAGTCGTTCCCTCTCCTTGTGGGAAATAATCGTAGTGCTCTAGGCCATGGTGCTATAATATCACTACTGGCCAGTATAAGGCCCGGATCGACGCGTAGCAGAAACACATACAAACAAGTAGAGCACACACACATACACACACATACACACACATACACACACATATACACACATACACACACAGACACACACAGACACACACAGACACACACAGACACACACACACAGACACACACACACAGACACACACACACAGACACACACACAGACACACAGACACACACAGACACACACACACACACGAGGCGATAGTGGCCCCTCACGCCCCTCGTCCCCCACAAGGAGGAGAGTACTTCGGCGGTCGTTCCCGTTGGGGTATATATACGGTTAGGTGGCCCTGGCCAGTGTCAGGCCCGGATCGATATGTAACAAATACACATACGCACTCTCTCACATGCACTCATACACAAATATATACATACATTTACACTTACGGGTACCTGCAGTGCTGATATCTTGTATCCGCTGGATTTTATGATGTCAACACTTGTACGGCCCTCAATAGTGAAGTACGGCGGCGAGCCCGAGGTGCTGGCCGTGTCACCTGCCGTACACATTGTTACAGTGTTTGCGTTACAACACTACTCCCTCACCCCCCTCCTGAGCTGCTGCTCTTGTCCCCCAACCCCAACAAAGCCGCAAACCCCTGCACACCCTCACCGCGAGAGGAACATGTCCCTGCGGCCTTACAGCCACACCACCTACCTGCCTATACCCCAAAGAAGCAAAGCACTCCACACCGCACACCCGCACACCCATACACCCGCACACCCATACACCCGCACACCCGCACCTGTTCGAAAGTACCCCTCGTCGTCGAAGGCCTCGTCCGTGGCCCCCGGTCGCCCCCAGTACCCGGAGAAGACGGTGGGGCCGCGGACCAGCAGCTCACCATCCGGGGCGATGCGGGCCTCGACACCAGGGAGGGGCTCCCCCACCGAGCCGGGCCGCCGCTCGCCCTGTCAGTCCGTCCGTCCGTCAGTCAGTCAGTCAGTCAGTCAGCGGCGGGGGGGAGGGACAGGAGAGTGAAACCGACCGGTCAACCAGTACGGGAAGCCAGCACCTGGCGGGAGCGGTAAATCTCGGGAACAACATTTTCGAAGTTGCTCTCTCGCAACCTTTTCAGATTGGCTTTTATGAGATTCACTCGATTGTTCGTAAATTCGTAAATTTGCATATTACGTAGTACAAAACATAATACACACATGACAGTCCATATATGTGTGTGAATAGAAATAGAAAGATTGTGCAGAGCGAATATATGTATCTCGTACCTTGTACGGATTGGACAGCGCCATCCCGATCTCTGTCATGCCGTACCGCTCCAACAGGAACTCGCCGCTCAGCTCCCGCCACCTGGATTGCGCGAGAGGCGGGAGCATGGCGTGTTTAGCTTGGCGACCCCCGAGGAGCTCCGGTGGGTTTTCTTTGTACCTCCAGGTGTACGATATACGTGCATGTGTACATACATACATACATACACACGCATATCCACGAAGCTGGATAAATTGCTTGCGTACTCCCCTTCTAGACTCCAAACCTGAAAACCATCCAATGACCTCCCTCTCTCCCGCCAATGCGCTATCCCTATCCTTATGAAACGTAGGGTTGGAAACGCTGGTTGGTGGTTTGGTGGTTAGGTGGTTGGGTGGTTAGTGTGGTGGGTGCGTGGGCCAGTACAGTGCGTATCCGTACCTGTTCATGATGGGCACGGGGCAAGCGGAGGACCCGCTGACGGTGAGCCGCAGTGCCCGGGCCGCCTCCCGCATCTCTTCGGCTTTTTGTGGGTTAGTGGCTGCCGTACTGTCGTACTGCGCCAGCAGGTACGAGTACATGGTGGGCACCCCCATGAAGACGGAGATGTCGCCGGACTGTAAAAGGATGCGTGTGGTACGAGGGGGGGGCCGTTTAAAAGGGGACGTAAGGTGGGGGTGTACGTGTGTATGTATGAACATGTGTAAAAATCAAGAGGCTGAAGGTCGCCTCAGGTAAGGTGTACGAGCTGGGAGGTGTCCGTATTCGTCGTACCCTGTACGTGATCAGGAAAGAACTGGCCGAGCAAAATGATCCCCTTGGCGACCAGCAACCCCCCACCCGTCCCCCACCCCACCGG